GTGTGCGGGAAGGAAAGATCGGTCAAACCTGATCGGGTTCTCCCTGCTCTCCAGATCTTTGAATGCGATCGCCTGAGCCACTTCATAGACGGGAAGGGTGCCTCTGGCAACTGGATGTCCCTGGTGAACTGTGCCAGGTTCCCCGAGGAGCAGAACTTGACGGCTATCCAGTGCGAGGGGCAAATCTTCTACGAGAGCTGCAAGGAAATCTTGCCGAAGCAGGAGCTGCTGGTGTGGTACGGCGATTGCTACGTGCAGTTCCTGGGCGTCCCAATCAGCCCGAAGGACATGTCAGAGGGGAAGAAGCCCCCGGAGAACCCCGAAGGTGAGCCTGCCAGCCCCTCATGCCCATGGCCCTGCGTCTGACCCGGGGTTAGATTCGCATGAAGAAAGGTAAAGGAACTCGGGCACCACCATTTTCCATCTGTGTTTTACTTTGAATGCTCCCCAGTCCCTGCGGTGAGCCAGTGGCAGGGTGACCGGCCCTGCCTGCCCCCCTTCCCTTCCCTTCAGTCCCAGTACGCCAGAGCAGCAGCATCCCCTCGGCACCGCGGACCACACTGAGCGCTTCTGCCAGCTTGGTGCAAAAGTCTCCTCGTTTGCGTTTCCTCGGGGAGCTGAAGTTGTTCGCCGACGGCTGTAAAACATCTAATGATGCGGGGCTGGGCTCCCCTCGGCCCCGCGTAGGGGAGGAGGGACGCATTTTGAGACGAGAGGGACTTCTGAGCGGCATTCCGGTTTTGGTCCTGTTTTATCTTATGATCGCACATGCCTGACTTTATATTTTTCGTACAGTTAACACTCGGTAAATGTGGCAGGCAGAAATCGTTGCGATCCAATAGTGCCGATATCACTTGCAGAACAAATGTCAAACACCCTTATTCCCGGAATAACTCTGCTTATAATGCACAGAAAATACACGCTCTTCTAATAAGCAAAGCTTATGTATGGGGAAAACGGGTGTATGCCAATGCAGGGCAGGCTAGGGTGGGCGAGGTGCCAGAGCAAGGAGAGAACCAGATTGGCATGGGAATTTGGCAATGTTGTCTTTGGGTGCCTGGTTCAGACAGCTGGTAGATTGTTCGTTTCATTTTAAGGCTTAAGCCAAAGTTGCTTTTATTAACGGCAGAAAAAGGATGCGTAAGCATTTGAAAAATGTCCTGTCACTGTTGTTCTAAATTCAATGGTTGAGAACAGTTTTAAATACAAAAGAAAACCAAATGTGGTTTTGTTCTACAGTATTTTGAAAACTACCTAGAAAAGCCGTGCAAGTTTATTTTTCTTTTGGGGATGGGAGCTAAATTTACGGACAATATTAGTATGAGATGCCTGGCAGTGTTTCCGTGTGGGGAGATGCTTTTGCACGGGACTCTGCGTTGGTTTTTCACATTCTCTCCCTGTTTAGGGAGAAACAAGGGTGAACCGCTGTCCTTGCTGTAGTCGGTAGCTGAACCCAGTGATTTTACCTGGCTGTGGGCTGTAGTTTACTGCCCCCCGTTAGAAAGGCAAGTGGAGCAGTGTCAACCGATGGGTATTTTGTTAATGGTTTTGCCAGAATCCATTTACCGTTATTGTCCTCCCAGAGACTTAAAATTCCCAACTGGGTACCAGCTCTGGGAATGCAGCAGGTTTGAAAGGAGCCCCTGGTGCTTCTGTGTAATGGAGAGGTGGCCCTTTCCCTTCTCCCATACAGAAGCCGGGGAGAGCTTTAAGTGCGAGCGGTGCGGCAAGGTTTTTGCCTACAAGTACTACCGGGACAAGCACCTCAAGTACACCCGCTGCGTGGACCAAGGGGACCGCAAATTTCCTTGTCACCTCTGCAGCCGATCCTTTGAAAAAAGAGACAGGCTGAGGATCCATGTTCTCCACGTTCACGAAAGGCACCGACCTCACAAGGTGAGCCTGCCCCTGGGTCACTCTGCAGGTACTGGCTCTTCTGGGGGGACCAATCGAGGAGTCTTTTTTGGCTGAGGTAGGATGCTGATGGTGTTCTCCCTCCTCCAGTTGCCCTGGCAGTACTCTGGAAGGACCAGTCTGCCTGTACTGGAGGAGTTTGTCCGGTGCAGCAGAGCTTAGTTAAAGAAGTTTAATGGATTTACATTGAAAAAACAGTCTCAGCGAGACCTTGAAAAGAAACAATATTTCTTCTGGGCTCTTTGGATGTTTCCCTGTGGGTTTTGCTACTTTTCTGACACAGTGTGGTGCTAACTTGTTTGAACTGGGTCTGAAGAGATGAAGTCTGTTACCCTTCACTCCCTCCCCTCAGCCTAAGAACTGACAGACATCTGTGTCTGTTAAACAAAACAGGAGCTAAAAGGTTTACACCCAATGGAGAGCAGATTTTCAATTGATGGAAACAAATCATTGACGAGATACTTTCTTCATCTGCACCAAACACCTCTCTGTAGCATCAGTTTTCTTTAGGATCCCTGGGGGTGGACAATCAGACTTTTCCTAAAGGCTTGGGAACATGAAGTAACAGTGCTTGAAATGTCAGTTAAATCAGTCCTGAAAAAATCCTCAAAATACCTATTTTATAGATCATCCTGCAATAATGTGACTTTTTCAGGGAAAACTTTTTCAACTAAATCAACAATATTACAATGTCAGTGCACCAGGTTGGTTTAGTTACAGGTGAAAAACATTATTTCATTAAATATGAGGCGTCAAATACCATCTAGTTCTTATTAATTTCATTTCCTAGGGCATTTGTTTTGAAATGAATATTAAAGAAATACTTCAGAACAGCAGTAAGATAAAACTTATTCTGAATATATTGCATTTGTATGAGAACTGATCAACTCAAAAAGCAAAGATGGAAAATACTTCAGTATAAAATAAACACCTTCTTTCAAGACCAGTCATAGAGTAGTTTACTTTGAACTTCTGAAAGATAATTTCTTTCCAATTATTGTAGGGGAAATTGATTTGGGGGTCTTATAAATTGCACTAAATCAGTGCAAGTCTCTCAAGTGACTCTTCTGAATTGGTCCAGGCAGCAGCTTGAGGATGCTATTTGTTTCACTCCTGCCGAGAGGCACTTCTCTGACAGGTCAAGCTGTAGGCTTAAGTGTGTGACTGACTTGCCATTTCTAAAAAATAAATGGTTATTTTTTTAAAATTTATTTTTACTTTTAAGATTTATTATAAGATTTATAAGATTATTTTAAGATTTCTTTTAGGAAGTTTAAAATTAAAAATAAAAACTGGAGCTTGGTTTACATTCTGAAGAAAGTGATTTTACAGAAATGTTCTGACTGTGATTACTGGAAGTCAGTATTGTCTGTTTATGTTCTGAAGCATGATTTTAAATTAAACCATCTTGACAACACAAAAAAGCTTTGACATTTTGCATGACTTTTCATTTTAAGATTTCTTTTAGGAAGTTTAAAATTAAAAATAAAAACTGGAGCTTGGTTTACATTCTGAAGAAAGTGATTTTACAGAAATGTTCTGACTGTGATTACTGGAAGTCAGTATTGTCTGTTTATGTTCTGAAGCATGATTTTAAATTAAACCATCTTGACAACACAAAAAAGCTTTGACATTTTGCATGACTTTTCTTTTTTTTTTTAAAAAAAAAAAAAGTTCTTAAAACCAGATAAAAATTCTGACTGTACTTGAAATTGTTACTGCTTAAATTTACTAGTGTATGTACACAAATACATGGATATATGTATATAGATAAAGATATACATAAATATGTAGGAAAATACATGCAGACACTCTATATATCTGTTTTTTCTTTTGAACTATGCTGGTTTGTGCTTCCTTTTACCTTTGTCCATTTTTTCTTTCCCAGTGCTCAGAGTGTGGGAAGAGCTTTTCTCAGTCCTCCAGCCTGAACAAACACCTGAGGGTTCACTCTGGGGAGCGCCCCTACAAATGTGTGTACTGCAACAAGGTAAGGCAAAGCTCCATCTGTGCTCTGCTGCATCCCTCTGTCTGTTCTCTGCTGTGCTTAGCATCACACTGCACCTGCAGGGAGGTGACTCTTTCCATGCTCAATTTCATTTTTTCCATTTTTTATCTCCTTAAGTTGTTAACCAGATAAGTTGACTATATTCTGGGCACAGTTGTGAGTTGAAGTGACAGGGCTGGCTGAGATTGAAGAAACACGGTCTTGTCTCCTGTTGCAGAATTTGTTCCATCCTAGCTGAGACAATTGCTGTGGGGAAAGGATCTAGAAAAGTATGAGAGCATTTCAACTACCATTCGAGGCAATCAGCTAGATGCAATACTCTCCTTTTTCATCAGATAGGTAGTTTTTGATACTGCTGGCATTGCTTCTGGAGTGCAGTGAATAGATTTGGCCTGTAAGCTGAACCTGCAACATACAACTCTGTGTATGCTTGGAAGTAACGGGGCCATTGGTGTGCAACTGGACACAGAGGTTTCATCTGAAAAAGAACATGAGTAAAGCCATACAGCACTGATCAAAAATGTGCCTAGCTGTGATGCTCACAGCAGGGATGATTCAGGTGAGCTCTTCCCATGAGAGCAGTGACAGCTTTCCCAGCAGACAGGAGGTGGATGGATGTACATGCTGCTGCTGGGTGAAAATCGGTAGGACTCCAGGTGCTATGGAGTGTCCACACAATGCAGAAGCACTGTTGTCATGTAGCAAGGTGCTCCTGATTTTGGAGAAAGAGAAGTTTTGTTACTGGCTGGACTAACACAGAGCAAAAGTGTCCTATGCAAAGATTCCTTTGGCTATTACATTTTTTAGTCTCCCAGACATCCTAAACACTTGTAGGCAGAGTTTAAGATGAAATGCCATCCTTTCATCTTCTGATCACAGGGAGAGATGGCAAAGCTTTACAGGTTGCTCTGTGAACAGATCTCTTAAGACACATGGGAGCCTTGACCAACCCACAGCCATTTTGGTAGGACTGTTGTTGCAGATTGGATCAGGTTAAACCTTTAGCCCTATGGCTGCAGGATGCTGCAGCTATCCTGGGACACAGCCATCATTTCTGTGACTGGGAAGCCAGGCGCTATTTCAAAGCATCCTCGTCTGTGCCTCCTATGCAGTCATGATTCCTCTTTGCCTCTTTTACTTCTAATGATGGCTGTACTCCAGCACCGCTTTGCTTTCCTGGACCCATTGCTCATTATCTCAGTGACATCGTGATTAAAGCAAAAATTTGAGGTCAATATCACCATTCTGGCCCTTAAACACACTTTGCCCCTCTCAATAGACACCTCCAGGGGCTTTTCTATAGGAATCACAGATCTGTTTGCTCTCTAAGGTTCCTAGTGAAACGGTATCTGACATGTATTGCTCTTTGCTGTGAAAACTTGCAATGGTTCAGCAACTTAATGGTACTAAAGAGGATTTCTTTTGTGTGTTCTGCAAATAGTGAGGGGCCTGAAAGTGTCTCTCTTGGATAAAAAAAAATGGGGGAGACACTGGAAGCTTTGCAACATTCCTACTCCAGTCTTGGTGAGAAGGTTTTCTCTCCAAATGGAGGACGCATCTTTACGATGGGGACAGTGTGATTGTGCGCACTTTGCTACTCAGATGTGTGTGGGGAAACAGGCTGGAAGGTCTGAGTGAAGGAAAGCAGAGTATGATGGAGTGGGGAAAATGAAACCTCAAAAGATGGATGCTGGATTGCATAAATGAATTCTGGCAGCTGAATCCCCAGCTGCCAAAGTATGTGAATATGGATCTGGCTTTGAAAATAAAAACTGAAAGGAAAAGCTGCATTATGTTTCCTAAACATAAAGTAGCTACAAAGCTAACTAGGACAGTATTGACTTCTTATCCTTTGACATGTAGAAGATGTGTCTGGTCAGAAATCTTTGTCTGAGATTCATCTAATTCCATGAACTCAGCCACATCTATATAGCAATAGCTGTTGGCTTCTGGTTCCTTGTTGCTGTGAGGTTGGATTTTTTCCCTTAAGTTACCTGAGAATGTTGAGTTATTTGAGGACTTAATGGATTGCTTTCAACTCCTTACCTTTGCAGGCATTCACGGCATCCAGCATCCTGCGCACTCACATCCGCCAGCACTCAGGGGAGAAGCCATTCAAGTGCAAGCACTGCGGCAAAGTCTTTGCCTCGCACGCAGCCCACGACAGCCATGTGCGGCGCACGCACAGCAAGGAAAAGGGCTGCATTTGCTCTGTGTGTGGCCAGCACTTCCCGCAGCAGGAGGATTACCAAGTCCACATGAAGGTTCATGACTCTCATTAGTCAAATAGTCAAGGACTCTGTGGACATGACCTGGACCGGCTTATGTGTGTATCTGTCTGTGTGCATGTGTTTGTTCATAGTTCTGTGCACATCACAGAAGGTGACATTTACCCTCACGGTGACTCTCTAGGTACATCCAGTCTTCTGGATCCTGGCCATAGTTTCTCTGGGTACCCTGATGCCACACTGGACTGTGGTAAAGGCCAACACGTGCTTCCCCACCTTTCCCCTTCTCTCCTCCCATACCCTAATTTTCTCAACAGGGAAACATGGGTAGGAGGAATTTTGCCTCCCATGAACCTTTTGTGCACAAATACCACTATGAAGAGTGTTTCCATGTCTCTAATGTATCACATCTGTGGACTGCCTGGTGCAGTGCATACCAAAGCTTCTGTGAGGGATGATTTTAACAAGTGCGTTTCCCAAAGCCAGGTTTACCTCTTTGTTTTGTTTGGATGCATGACCAAGTATGGGGTCTACTTCCCCTTAATCTGCAAGTCTTTTAATGTTGCTCTACTTAAATGTGAACTGCCTCAAAGATACTGACTACTGGACCAACATAAGTGTATTTAATTCCTTCATTCAGCTGCCTGGACACTGGGAGCTCCAGGGCACTGAGACCAACTCTTCCAGACAATGCTGATTAGGCATGGGGGAGAGGACCGGGGTGTGATGAGATAGCTTCCAGTTAGCAGAGACAGTGCAGGTTGGCTTTGCCTTCTCACAGCTGAGAGAACCAAATGTGAAGATAGTCCCAAGCCACCAGTGAGTGCTCAGGTGGGTCACAAGCAGCCAAGTGGCCTCACAGAGGTGTTGCATTGTGGGCCCAGGTGGGCCTTTGTTAAGAATCCTTAACAAAATGGCATTCCCTGGCAATGTAAAATCTCAACTTGATGGAGGCTTAGCAAACAGCTGGAAGGACCAGTGAGCATAAAGAGTGCTGTAATCAGTGCAAAGTCTTTTTTGTCACTGGGTGGCCAGCATGATTGGCAGAGGGCTGTACATTCGAGAGGGGCTCCCAGCGTCAGTGGGACTGTGTCATCCACGAGGGATAATGGCAGCCCTTGCTGGAGCTGGTTGATTAACACAGGAAGTTTGATGTTACTGAGATAATGAGATTCCCTTTTAATATCCTAGCTGATTTAGGATTAACAAGGACTTTGCACATAAAAAAAGAAAATTTATTTTGTGCCAACCTTAGCAATCTCTTTGAATACAGCATAGAATTAGGAAGAAAAAGTTACCTACGCATTTAATTGTATTGTGTGGATACTGTATCTATAAATACTTGGATTTGCACTCATTTTTATACAGTTTATTGTTCCTTAAGTTGCTCTGTCCTCATTGTTTTCATGTTAAAAATCTTAAAATATTTACAGAACCACTTACCTGTAAGTAAAATATTGAGGACTGGGAATGGCTTCAAGGTGCTATGAAACGCATGTTTAGTTTAGCTTTCGAAGCAGGTAAATCTCCTTGTTTCTTGTGAATGAGGGTTATTTATTTAGGTGCTGCATCTTCTGTAGTGCATTTACTTCTGCTTGAAGAACCCCAAATATTTTGTACTAAAATGTTAGTACCTTCTTCAGTATTTGATGAGTCATCTATAAAAGAGTATGTGGTTTCGCTTGTATGTGTGATTGAAGGCAATGGTTATCTTGCACATTAAACGTGTATATATAAATTTTGATGCTAAGTAAGATTATTACAGTGACATTTATGCAAAGGATGAAAATAAATTATTGGAAGCTATAGTGTACATCAGTGAGCTATGGGTTGTTTCCTGCCAGATGCATTGGAATTGTGTATTTGTGGTAGTAGCAAATTGATGAAGGGTGTTTTATGCATCATTTGTAAGTCATTACAGAGTCAAACTGTCTCTTAGTGGGAATTCTAGCCCTTGTCCTGCTGTGTAGCAGCTGACTACATTAGACGTCAAAGGCAGCGTCTTGATGGATTGGGCCTTAAGTGTCCCAATAGTTCATGGAAGCTGAAGCCATTCAGCTTTGGATTGAGTTCACTCCCACTTGCAAGCAAGATGATGGATCCGGATTGAGCACTAAAAAAGGCGTTTAACTACCCTATCGCATTTAACTGCCTTATAGCACTGTCCTCTCCCTTCTGAATAGGCAATCCCAGCTGTGCTGGGAGGCCGTGGGGGTGGCACTTGGCCCGCAGCACACTTCACAGCGGGGTGGGGAGAAATCTAGCAGCAGGGAGCAGGAGAGCAGGCTGAGCTCCCCTGCCAGCCTGCAGCAGATTTTAGTCTCCTGCAAGGAAACTACTGTGGTCGTCAATGCAAACATATTGCTGTCCTTGCTGGGCAGGGTTTAGGAGAAGTTAGATTTAGATTAAGGAACGCTCCTGTGGCATGCACGAACCCTGAGTGTGCCTGCACATCTACTTGCACTTCTGTGGCCATGCTGCCAGCAGCCTTGTGAACGAGCAGCTCCAGCCTGCTCAGCCACGAGTGGGGTTTCGGGTGTTTACTCACACAGAAAAGGGGGAGAGGGAGGGTGCGTGTGTGCACACCGCGCTTTTTCATCGGGCATGTTCCCAGGATGACTGCACGGCCCAGGAGGCTGCGTGCATGAAAGAGCCTGCACTGCAAGTTCCACGGAAGGGAGAATATTTGTGACCAAGTCAACTGTATGGGCTCAATCCTTTCACTGGGAGGCCCCAGCTGTAGGATCCTCTTGAGCAGACACCATGGTATTCAGTAATGGTCTTGCTGACCATTTCTGAGCTGAGGCAGCAGAAAGCGGGATATCCCTACAGCTCTCTGGGTGACCAGGTTGTGACGTTGCACACTATACTAGATCCATCTCTTGCATTTCTCAGTATCATCAAATATGGGCCAGAAGTGACATTTATTTTCCATGACAGTGACTGTAATAACACACTAAGTGCAATAGGTACCCATGTTACTCACTCAGTTTGGCTTAAACTGTCTGTAGCTTGGCTTCCCTGGCTGAGGGCTCAATTCTCACTGCATTTCCCAAGGCAAAGGATTATAGAAACCACCTGACTGTGCACCATGGCTCTTCTTTCCCCTAACTAGGATTAAAAATGGTCCTGCCAAGGGGAGCAGCAAGTCAAGTCTGTTGGGACAAATCAGTCCTGTAAGACACTAGCTGACTTTGCATTAACTGTGTCAGGGTTTTTTAAATGTTAAGTGGAAAGTGATCTAAATAGAAACCAGAGGGTGAAGGCAGTCGCAGTTTTGTTGGGGTGGTTCAGAGAGAGATGAGCCTGTGTGAGGCTAACTCCTGAAAAGCCTCTCCTTGGTGAATGACAATGGCAAGACAAAAACAAAAAGGTGGTCCCAGAGCTCAGGCTGGGGAGTTGAAGGGAACAAAAGGCCTGGCCACTGACATCTGCTGCCCCCGGCATCTCCCTGCATCTCCTGCATCTCCCTGCTCTTCAAACACCTGGTACCCACCCCTCTGCTGCCTCAGACCCTGTCCCTGCTGCACTCCTGGGGGACGAGAGGAAGAGGGAGGTGGTTAACCACTGAGGGAAGGGGAAAGCAAGGAGCTTAGTGGATTGAAGATAGTGCCACAAACACAGTTATTGATTAGTGCCAAACTGTCCATTAAACAAGAGAGATCATTCACCAGGGAAGCCCTGACCGGCTGTTCCTTCAGAAAGCCATTTCTTGGGGTCCCCCAGTCTCCTACATGCCTCTGCTGCAAGCTCTGGTGTTTGTTTCACCCCTATGGACATATTCACATTATTTTCCCTTTCTTTCCTCACACACACATATCCCATTGCACCTTCTCCCTCCTGGCTTTCCCTAATGCACATAGTGTAAGGGCCTTGGGCACATGAAGGGTATCAGGAGACGTGGGCTTTACTCTCTGCTTTCCTTCTTTTCTTACCTAATGTAAAACATGTCCAGATTGTCAGTGGGACCGGCATCTGACTGTGTTTTTATGGTCTTTAACTCAAGTTTTAAAAAGGCTTAATGTCCACCAGTGAATGCCTTTCCTGAAAGGCCAGTCCTGCAAAGGGGTGGGATGTTGGCAGCTGGGGATATGTGAGAGCATCAGAAGAGAGTATCACAGCATCTCTGCCTCTCCTACAGCAGGACCTGAGCAGCTCTGTTCCATCTCCACCCTCAGCCGGTCTATCTGCAGCAGCTCTTGCTGTAGGGATTGTTCTGGAAATCACAGCTTAGCTGCATTGCAGCAATGACAAACAAGGCTTAAATTCACAGGACTGACCTCTGGTTAGCCCAGCATTTAGTAGAGAGCACTGTTGCGTGCCTTAGTGTGAGAATGCCAGTAAGAGACATCTTGGTCATTAACAGAAATACAGTAGCAAAGAAAATGTCCTTTGTCTATCAAGGAAAGGGAAACGGATGAATTCTTGGGTTATACTGGCCAAAAAATGCAATTCACAGGTAATCCCTCTAGTGAAATTAATCTGTGGAGCCCCTTCTCCCTAGAGACAAATGGTCAAGTACATCCTTTTCTTAATCCAAGTGAAGTCGGTGGCATTCCCTCTTGGCCTCACATGGTTTGGGGGACACTGACCCAGCACAGTGGCGGTGGGGATGTGGTGGCAGGCTGCTTCCCAGAGAAGTCTTGCTTTCCCACAAGTAACCCCATGGCAGTGGCCAGGCCAGCCCCACAGCTGGAGGGTGCTGACAACCAGCTGAGGGATTACCTGTATTGATTCTCTAATAGCTGCCAAGGTGGAGGGAAACACTACTCTGCCACAAGTGAAGCTCTTAGCTGAGTGGGAGCATAAACACCCCATTAAAGGTTTCATTCAATAGCAATCTTTGCTCAAGTAAATGGACAACAGCTCCCCCACCCCCAGTTCCTAATGCAAGAGCCATTATGGAGCAGGAAGGCAGCACGCAGGAATATGTATTTGTGTAGTATCAGTTTCACCAACAGACTGAAATGACTCTTTTAATGAAAAGTGGATTTTTTTCCTTTCTTTTTTTACAGGGATGTGAAAACCCGAAGGAAACAACCGAAGGGAAATCC